GATGTAACCGTTACACCATCTGCTGGTCCCTTTTTTTTCTTTTTTAAATTTGCCATAGATGGAGAGAAAGAGAAAATGAGAAATCACCTCTTAAGGAGGATGGCTATGCTGCAAACCCTTCTCCTTCAGTCTCCTCTTGGGATTTTGGGCAAGCACACACACACTGGTGTGCATACACGTTTGGTGTGTTTTCCAAACCAGGGATCCAGGACTCGGACGCACAGTTGAGCATGTGGAATCCAGCCACCTTAACCACCACACCACTGGCTGGCCCAACCATATTCTTTTTTTGTTTATTTCTAAAGAATTATTTATTTAATTTTATTTGTTTTATTTATTTATTTTAATTTGACTAGACAGAGACACAGAGAGAAAGAGACAGTGAGAAAGCAAGCTGCCAGATCTAGGACTTGAACTGCTGTCAGTCATGTGGGAGTCCAGCACCCTAACCACCATGCCACCTGCTGGTCCCTCTTTTTTTAAGAGAGATTTTTGCTATAGGGTTTGTGTACTCACCAGAGAGACAGACTGAAAGAGAAATCACACCCCAAGGGCATGCAATCCCTTCTCCTCCATTCTTCTCTTGAGATTTTGGCCATGAACCTGCCATGAGTTTCAAGCTGCTGGATCTGGGACTTGAACCTCAGTCAACCATGTGGGAGTCCAGTGCCTTAACCACTATGCCATCTGCTGGTCCCCCATATTCTTTTGTAATAATAAGTGAGGAAAAACTTTTTTCAAGAGATAATAATATACTGCTGAGACCCCTGAGCAGCAGTCACTGGAACAAAGAACCAAACTTCCTGAAAGGTTCCTCTGAGGAGCACAGCAGGCAAGAATCCAGGGGGCAACTTTTTATTAGAAGACTTTCAGCATGACCCGACTTTTCAGTGTGCATATATTACTTACATGCGAATAAAAATACTACAAAAAAAAAATCAGAAACTCCAGAAATTTATCCAAAAGAAAATTAGTACAACCTATTATGTCTTCACCCAAAGATACAACATTTTGGTATAATACTTTTTAGTCTTCTTTCCCCCTCTAAAAATGTCTTTTTCTTTCTTTTTCTCTCTTTCTTTCTCTTTCTTTTTCTTCTTTCCTTCTTTTTCCCTTCCTTCCTTCCTTCCTTTCTTCCTTCCTTCCTTCCTTCCTTCTTTCCTTTCTTTTTTTTTTCTTTTGCAAAACTAAGCATATAGCTTCTAAAGAACTTGAAAAACAAAGCTTAACATATATAGGACTTTCTCAGGTAAAGAAAGTATTCTCAGTAACTCAGTAACCAGGGGAGCCTCTCACAAGCAGTTCTGTAACAGTGGCCTAAACGGTGTATTTTGGCAATGTTCACCAATGTCTCTGCATCCGTGAATCAAGCTTTCTGATATCTCAGTACCTAGGACTGATTGATTCTGTGCATAATCCCTAACACGGGAGATGCTCGAGCATACAGCTCCTGTGCACGGAAATCTGTCCATGCAGAGCCCCACAGGTAGCTCACCTCCGTAGGCCTCACACAGGATGAACTAACAGGGAACAGACCAGCCAGTGGTTGGAGGAGGTTCTACTAAAAATACACCGAGTATCTCTTCTCAGAAATGCTTGGGACCAGAAGTGTTGCATATACATGTATATGTATATATGCATACATATGTACATATATACCTATATTTATAAATTTTGGGGGGTATTTTGTAACCTTTGCATATACATGATGAGATCTCTTGAGGATGGGGCCCAACTTCGAACAAAATCTCATTTATGTTTCATGTACACCTTATGCACATTGCCTAAAAGTTTATACAGTATTTTTTTCTTTTCTTTTTAAGGCAGGGTCTCGCTATGTTGCTATCCTCCTGATCCAGCTTCCCGTGTAGCTGTGACTACGGGCATGCACCACCATGCCTGGCTCTTAGGGTTGTCTGAGAATCAAACCTGGCCTCCCATATGGCTTCAGCCTGCTGAGTAGTGTAACCAGAGCTTGCCACCACAGCTGGGCCCACAAGTTTTTAAAATGTAAGACCTGTCACATGAGATCAGGTGTGGAATTTTCCACTTGTAGGTCATGTTGGCACTCCATAAGTTTCAGACTTTGGGATATTTCAGATTTCGGATTTTTGGATTAGGGATGTTAACCTGTATATATATTTTTGTGGACTCACCATTTTTCTACTGTTTCTTTTATTATCTTTTTATTTCTTTTCACCCCCAAATAGTCCCGAATCTTTGGCCCCAGCACGGTGGGTGAGGATGAGGTCTGGGGTTCAGAGGTGGCTTTGACACAGCACGGGGCCTGGCCCTTTCTCCAAGCCTCAGGAGCTGTGGCTGTGTGTGACGTGTAGCACGCCATCCATGTCACACGATTTCAGTTCATGAGGGTATCTGTCTTTCCATACAACATATGTGTAATATTGGATTGTATACATAATCCGAGTATAAATCATTCTCTGCAGACAGATTGACACAGCTGTGGGCATTGGAATAAAAAGATGGGGCATCAGACAGCAGGGCTAGTCAAGGCGTGTTTTTCCCACTTGGCGGCAGTGCTCATTCACTGACTTCAGCACCTAAGAAGGAGGACTCATGGAACACGGTCTGAGAGGGCTTAGTGGGCCAGGTGGCTCCCTGTGCAGGCACCGCCCAAAGCTGGGTCACCATCCCAGTCGGCTTTGGCTCGCCCCCACACAATGGCCCGAATGACAGAGCATGGCCGCCTGCAGCGTGCTTCTCAGACGGAGTAAAATGGGACGCTCTGTGGGCCTCTCCGGCCCTCTGTGAGCTGGGCTGGCCGGTCCACGACCTCCTCTGCCAGCTGTGGCTCCGCTTTCTCATCCACGGCTAGGGGACTTGCTAGAGACCAAACATCCCAGCTGGGCCAGCTCTGTGGTGTGGAGGTCATATGCTGCTCAAGAAAAGCCAGATCCCACATGTCGACCACGGTTCGAATCCCCCGCCCAGTCGGCTGAGTCACGCTGGGCATCCAAGTGAGTGCTCAGATTCGAGGGGCCAGAGGGCAGGAGGAAGAGGACCATGGCGTGACCAGACTCATCTCCGTCTGTCTCTTGCTCAGTTACTAACACGTGCACACGTTCTATGGACAAAGGAAAAATGGCCTCGGCGATCCATTTATTCATTCACCCATCCTTCCACCGCTCAGCGAAGTACAACCGTGCTGGCTTCTGGATCCTGTTGGCTGAGTCCCCGCACTGGCTGTCCTTTCGGGGACACTCAGCCCAAAGAGTCCTAGGGCTTCCTCCCTCATGTCTAGTCCCTGGTGCTCCCAGGACCACTGGTACAACCAGAAGCTCCTCACCCCTGCACGAGCACTCGCTAATTCCTGAACCTCTTCAGACCGTCTCTACAGCAGCCCCTGCTACTCACTACCTTTCTCTCTCTGCTTTTTCCTTTTATGCTACAGGGTGCGTGCATTTGACAGACAGAGAGAAAAAGCGAGAGATTACCCTCAGGGGGATGGCTATGTCACACGGCCATGTCATATTCTCCTCTTGGGAGAATGCACCTGGCATGACTTTCAAGCCACCAGGGCCAGGACTCGAACTGTGGAGTCAGCCATGTGGGATCCAGTCACCTTAACCTCCATGCCACCTGATTACTCAGATCCCTCCCCCCGCCCCCATTTTTTCAGAATTATTTTATTTGGAACCAGGAGACAGTATAATGGTTACATCACTGGACTCCCACGCAGTCAACTGCAGTTCAAGTCCCGGACCCCGCAGCTTAAGACGCATGCTGGGTGTGTGTGCCCTCAAAATCCTAAGAGGAGAATGGGAGAAAAGAGATTGTGGCATAGCTATCCCCCCTGGGGGGTGATTTCTTGCTTTCTGTTTCCGTCTCTCTGGTGAGTGCATGCGCCCTTTAGCAAAAATCTCTAAGAAAAAATTATTTAATTTTATTCATCATCATCATTATTTTTTAAATTTGACCAAAGAGAGACAGAGCAAGCAAGAGAAGGAAAGTGAGAAAAGCAGGCCACCAGGTTTGGGAGTTGAACTGCGGTTGGCCATGTGGGAACCCGGCACCCTAGCCACCACACCACCTCTGGGCCCAGCCCATCTCTTTGGTAAACAGTCTCTCCCTACTGGGATATCAGCTCTTAGTCACATCCCTGCTGCCTCAAGAGTGCCTGGCACAGTCGTGTATAGTTTGAGGAAATAATCAAAACATCAGAGATTTCATTTCAAATTCAGTTTTCATAGATTCCGTTAGAAGTCAAACATGAGGGCTAGTGTTGGCGTGGAGATCATGCAACCAGACAAAGGTGGGAAAGGGCTGGGTTTGCAGCCTGGGCCTCCCGAGAACGCCCATGATGCAGGGGAGCTGAGACCAGTGCAAAGACCCTGTCGGGGTGCTCCTTCTCTTTCACAGAACAAACGCATAAACTTAAAAAAACAAAAACAAACAAAAAAAAGTCAAACATGAATGTGAAGTCTTTTGGGTAAATCCCTCTTCCTAACCTCTTCGGCTCAGACCCCGGGAAGGGAGGGAAACGGGGACCTCGCTCTGCAGTTGTGGGAGTTGGGAACGGCGTCCTCACTGGTGTCCCCGAAGGCCCTTGCGTGGGTGAGCAGGCACGGTTACCTCCTGCAGAGCCAGGGGTCCCGCTGCACTCCCACCACAGAGCCGCTGTTTCAGAGCTACACGAGGAGTGCTGGAATCTGCGATTCTCCATCTGCTTCCTCCTCTGGCGGGCCACCTGTGTCTCATCCAGCCCCGCCTCTGTGGCACCTACCCAGGGCCAGGCCCATGCTAGCTATTAAGTAAGCCAAGATCTAATTAGTGAAGGAAAGGGAGATGTGTCCAATAAAGTAAGAAGGCAGAGACGTGACAAAGCATATTAGAAAAATTTTCACTAAAGATAGTGAAAAGCAGGTTCTAGCACTTCTTCACTTTGGCATAGATGGTGTTGTGACCTTTTTTAATACCTCTGTGAAACGCGGTAGTTTTCTCATCCATACCACAAACGGAGCTGGGTAAAGAAACGGTACCTGGGTAGGGGATTTTCCCATAGGTGACGATTTCATACAGGAGAATTCCGAAGGACCACACGTCAGACTTAATAGTGAAGCACCCGAAGTTGATCGCTTCTGGAGCCGTCCACTTGATCGGGAACTTAGCACCTGAGGGGAGACACGAGGTTCTTACTGGGCATCTGAGCCACGGGGTAGCATGGGCGGGCGACCCTCACACTTTCCTCTTTTGTTTCAATTTATTGATTTTGAGTAGGTAACACATGCCATAGTACAAAATAGAGATGGTACAGACCAGCAGGTGGCGTGGTAGTTAAGGCGCTGGACATTCCCAAGTGGTCGACCACGGTTCAAGTCCCGGACCTGGATGGCTTGCTTTCTCACTATCCCTTTCCTTCTTTCTCCCTCTCTCTCTCTGGTCAAATTAAAAAAAAAATAGAGCTGGTAGAAAATACTATACTAACAAGGCTGGCTTTCTTCCTCTGTTGGCCTTTTGGTGTTTCTTGCATTAGAAGCATGCTGTGTGTGCACTGTCTGGGGATATTATAACTAAGTAACTTTAAACGTGAAAGAACATGATAGAGACGTGAAGGAATTGATTTTCAGCTGCTATGTTTGTCCCTCGACAACAGCTTCTAAAGCAGGTATCTTTTTTTTTTTATTTATTTTTATTTTTTAAAATTTATTTATTAATTCACTTTACACCATCACAACACACAAATGAATTTTCCATCCAAAATACACTGTGCATTGTCTCAATCAAGTACATCCACAGATATGTTCTCAGCAAATAATTTTCCAATTCTTACGTCCTGCATACCTTGCCCTTTGTAAAGCAGGTATCTTTAGGGTTTAGATTTCCTTTTATGAACCCACAGCATGATGTAGGCATAATAATAATAATAATAATAATGCCTCTCCTACAGGACTGTTGCCAAGAGAAATAAGACAATGTATGAAAGACCCACTCTCATACTGCAAGTGCTTACTACATATGGGTATAAATATTTTTTCATTGTATTTATTCATTTTTGAAAATTAAATTAAGGATATTACCCTATACATTATTTTCAGAAGAGAATTTTACAGTCTTGGGTCTGTTAAGTGTTCCTCCCCTTTGCCCCTTACAAGTGTCTTTTACTGTGTATGCCTCTGTGGGTAGACAGCGGTGGGCCTGTGCTGGTAAGAGCTGCAGGCCCCTCTGCAGACCTTCCCTTTCACTGGGTGGGAGCACACACATTCAACTTTCAGGACTGGGAGCCCTGACGAGAGGTCGAGCGTGAGTGAGTGATGCAGCTTTCCTTCTCACGACGGGCAGGCGAGGCTAATGGACAAAGTACAGGCACCCTGGCTATGAATGTGTAGGGTCTCTTGGGGAGAAACTGAGACTCAGGCACAGATTGTCCGCTGGGCACCCTCAAAAGGCTAGGAGTGTCTACCGACCACTTGAAAAAAGTTCTGTCTTTGTTATGTCATTGAGAATGTTTGGTGGTTCCTGACCAAAGCTGGAAATCTGAGTCAGAGGGCCTGGAGAAGACGCTGTGTGGTCGCACTGTCACGACTGCCTGCATTAACTCGCACCCACAGGGCCAGCCACACTCGGAGCACGGTGGTGCAGTGGTTGCGTGCTTGCCTCCCATACCTTGGAGCTCAGGTTTGAATCCCAGCTCTGCTATTTCCTGCCTGGTATGATCCTGGTGATCACTTCCTGTCTTGGTGCTTCCACCCGTGAATGGGGAAACAGTCGAACCTCCCAGTTACCAGGAGGGTTCAGTGGAGTTGATCTGTGGGCATGGCACAACGAAAATGCCAAGGCAAAGTGCAGGATCACTACTGCTATCCTGAGATACACCAGGAGGGGGCGCACGGTCTGCCCTAGACCCTGAGCGCTCTGCTCTAAGCCTCACTGTCGCACAGGAGACCGCTTGTTTTGGTAGGACTCGAGGTTTGTCAAATTTAATGAGCCCGGTGGGAATTCTAGCTCCTGTACTTTGGGGCTAGATTTCCTGGGGTTGAATCCCACCCTCTGTGGGACCTAAGGAAGCTGCAGCTCTCATTTCTGCATCTGTAATATAGGAATAACTATATTAACGCCTCTCATACAGGAGTGTTGCAAAGAGAAATAAGACAGTGTATGGAAGACCCACTCTCACTGCTAGAGCTTGATACATTTCAGCTGTTACTCTCTGGCTCTTTTCTCTAAACTGATCTCCCTTGTCTGCCTTTTTGCTGAGGATAATTGTTAAGGCCAACGCTCAGTTAGAACCTACTTAGAACACAGCCTTGAGACAGGAGAGGAAGCACTGTGGGCATGATGGGCATGGTGGAGAAAGAGGTGACTAATAAGTCAAAATTTCAATTTATTATTTTTTTTGACCTCTAGAAGTTGTAGAGACATTTTCAGAAACAACACACATTTATCAATAGTTGGAAGCAAAATAACCTGGGTTTAACATGCTGAGAGAGTGCTTGGCTCTTTCAGAAGACTGAAGGCCAGCAGTTAGCCTAATGGCTGTATCGCTGGACTCCCATGTGGTCAACTGCGGTTCTGATCCCAGACCCAGTGCCCTAAACTCACCCCGGGGCACGTGTGCATGCGTGCTCAAGAGCCCAGGAGAATGGAGGAAGAGGATTGCAGCATGGCCATCACCCCCCCGGGGGGGGTGATTTCTCACTTTCTGTCTCTCTGTCTCTCTTTCTGACGAGTGCATGCGCCCTATAGCAAAAACCTCAGCTCCCACAGTTGAGGCCCATCAGAATCCCCAGGGCATAAGCGTTATGGGTGATTCTGCCCCAGAAGAGGCAGGATCAACCGGGGTGCCATGGCCGGGGGATTTCTGCCTCTCTGCCCATTTTTGGTTCACACTGGGGTCTTCAAAAAGCTTATGGAAAATGCTATTATAAAAACTTTATGCATGGATTTCAAAAAATTTTTGCACCAAAATAAACTTGTACTTTAACTTCATTTTTCTAGAAGCTTTTTGAAGTTCCCTGGTATTATGGAGTGTGGGAAAATAGAGAAGTGTGTTTTTATAGCATTATATTTAGTGCCGTGAGCCTGATAGTGCGAGTGTTTTAAATTGAGGGTGAAATTGAAAGGCCAGAATACAGAACAGAGAATTACTGTTACAAATGTTTTCTTTATAGTTAGGGAAGGCACACTTCATTATTGACTGAAAAGTTTTAACAGTATAATAAAAACAATGAATCTTGGTCTTGCCGAATCAGTTTTTGTTTTTCTCTGCTTAAGTGAAAGACAAATGATAGCATTTGCAAACCTTGTAAAAATATCACTTGGCCTTTATCAGGGGAGTACTTTTACAATGATAAGAATAGAACCATAAATAGATAATTATGGTACATCTTGAATGTTGTACCAAATAAGTTTTTAAAAAATGTATTTTATTTTATTTTAATTTAGGTTTTTGCCATAAGCCACATGTGCTTGCTGGAGAAAGGCAAAGAGAGATGGTGAAAAGGAAAGGGAGAAATTGCCCCGGGGGATGGCCACATCACATTCCTTCTCCTTCTTTGTTCTCCTCTCTGGATTTTGGGCATGTACCCAAACACACCTGGCATGATTTTCAGCCACCAGGTCCAGGAGTTGAACCACAGTCGGCCATGTGGGAGTCCAGCGCCTACATCCCACTGTCGTGGCCACCACGCCCAAGGAGAAGGCTGAAGGGGAGGCTAAAGGAGATACAGCCAAGGTGAAGGAGGGACCAGAGAGAAGATCTGCAAGGTTGTCCATGAAACCTGCTCCTCCAAAGCCGGAGCCGAAGCCTAAAGGCCCCTGCAAAGGAGGGAGAGAAGGCGCCCAAAGGAAAAGGGAGAAGCAGATGCTGGCGAGGATGGGAGTAACCCTGCGGAGGACGGAGGTGCCCAAACTGACTCGGCACGGAAAGCTGCAGGCGCTGGAGAAGCCACGGAACGTGTGTGCGTTTTTGGAAACTGCGTCCTTCTGGTGACCGCACAGTGTAGATACGATTTTTAATCAATAAAAATGCAGAATTTTGTTTTATCTTTTCTTTTGTAAGCTACGTTGTTAGCACACAGAACACTTCATTGTTGTTGTTTGGGGAAGGGGCATTTGTCACTAATAGAATGTCTCTGAGTCTGCATTGATTTGGACAATGTCTCCCTTCTAGTTTTGAGAAACTCCTCTTGGCTCCCGAGAGGAGGGATTCCCTGACACACAGCCACCTTGGCACAGATACCTCGTGGTGTGGAAAACTTAGCATTTGCTTTTCTGTCCTCTCTCTGCCTTCAGCATAGACTTAACTCCCTCAAACCAGAGACGTGTGGGGACCTGCCACAGGAAATTGGTTATACAGGATATCAGGCAATCTGGGCTTCCCAATGACACTGAGATGGCGGCCTTCAGAAGAGCAGCAGCTCCTTTTCTATATTGTTGGCTCTTCAGGTGGATAATTCTGCTATTTTCGTTTCCCGAAAGTCAGGGTTGGCTCGTGAAAAGTTGTTAAACAACACGCTAAATGTGAAATGTCAACCCTCACTCCAAACTGTCCCTGTTGAGAGCATCACATGAAGAGTTCGTTGGGCTTTACAGTGGCTTTCTGATTTTGGTAGTCCATTCAGGAACTGAGTTTGAAAGTTGTTGTATACCGTTAACAGCTGTCTGCCCATGTTCTGCCCGAAATACCACGATTGTTTATCAGAAGTATCTTTAATAAAGCTGGATACAGTTTGGAAAAAAAATGATAACCACTGTAATTGCTTTGTTAAAAACAGACAAAACAAAAATAAAATGAAGCAATAGCAAGACCCCTGAGACGGTGACTGGAACGTACCTTCCCTTGCTGTGTACTCGTTATCTTCGATGACTCTAGCGAGGCCGAAGTCTGCAATTTTGCACATGAGTGACTCTGAGACCAGCACATTGGCTGCTCGCAGGTCCCGGTGAATGTAGTTCTTTCGCTCGATGTAGGCCATTCCCTCTGCAATCTGAAAACAGAAAGAGGTCCTCGTTTTCATTCTCACGGTAGGCCACTGTACAGGGCCAGCAAGGAAAACCAAACCACTGTGAGCTCCTGAAACCCTGTCAAGGATATTTTTCTGGGACCAGTAATTAGAGTAATGGCTATGTCGCTGGACTCCCATGTAGTCGACCGCGGTTCGTGTCCTGAACCCGGTGGCTTAAAACTCACGCCGGGCGCGTGTGCGTGCGTGCCCAAGATCCCGAGAGGAGAATGGAGGAGAAGGGATTGCGGCGTGACCATCCCCCCTGGGGGGTGATTTCTCGCTTTCTGTCTCTCTGTCTCTCTCTGTCTGGCGAGCACACGCGCTCTATAGCAAAAAAAAAAAAAAAAAAGAAAAAGGATATTTTTCAGGCCATTCAGCAGGTGGTATGCTGCTGCTTAAGGCATTGGACTCCCTCCCACGTGGCCACACATGATTCAAGTCCCAGACCTGGCAGCTTGAAACTCAGGTCAGGCTCGGGTGCAAGCACGCCCAAAATCCGAGGAGAAAAGTGGAGGAGAAAGGGTTGCAGCATGGCCATCCCCCCTGGGGGGTGATTTCTCACTTTCCCTCTCACTGTCTCTATGTCTCTGGCAAACGCAGGTGCCCTATGGCTAAAACCTGAAGAAAAAAAAAAAAGATAGCGGGTGAATCACAATCACCATTTTGAATCCTTTCTAAATGTCCAATGATGAGAGTGCTTTTTGTTTAAGTTAGAAATATATTCCAATATATTCTAAGGTGTGGAGAATCTAAGACCCTAATAAATTCTCTCATGTGGGTATACAGATGTCATTGTCTCAGTTTTTAAAGTGAGAAAATAATCGCCATCATCTGAATGTATATGCCCCCCTAAAATTCATTTGCTGAGACCCTAACACCCAATGTGCGGTATTAGGAAATGGGGCCTTTACTAGGTGATTAGATCATGGATGGGAAGCCTCAAGCGACTAGTGACCTTGTGAGAGAAGGCTCAGGCAGCTGCCCCACTCCTTCCACCACATGAGGACACAGGGAGGAGAACACGACGACCACCTGTGAGCCAGGACGCTGGCCCTCACCAGGCACCGAGTCTACCGGCATCCTGACCTCGGACTTCCCAGCCTCCAGAACTGTGAGAAATAAATGCCTGTGGCTTTA